AGGCCCTTAGGGCCACAGCACATATTCCTAAGAGAAGAAAAACGCGAAAACAAAAGAAAAATGAAAAAAAAGAAAAACAGAAAACAAAAGAAAAACAAAAAAAACAAAGAATTAGAGACCCATAACTGTGATCAGTGTGATGCACAGACCTGAATTGGAATCCAGAGTATATATTCTCGGCCCACGCAGACACATTAGAAGTCCAATGTCCATTTCTACTCCACGAGGGGTCCTTGCTAGTATGTAGGGGCCCTTCGGAAATGAGACAAGACGAATAGATTGGAGCACTTGGTTTAAAAAAAAAAAAAAGGACATTTACCCACATGCGCACACATGTGCTCACAGTGTTCAAAGGGAGGGGCATGTTTGGCCACCCCACCTTGTTGATAGGGGTCAATTTTTTTTTTCTTTTCCTGTTTTTAGTGTTTGGGCGCATAGGGCCATGTGTCCGAGGCCCGACACGCCAATTCCATTTTTCGGAAATCAACGGGACATGCCCATTTTTTCGTTAAATGGGATTCAACGGGGGTCCTACGACTCGTTAAACGGGTTGAACGGTATTTAATTCCGCCCGTCCTTCGTTCATCGGACACAGTGTGTGTAATGACCCGCCATAACACAGACTGAGAACACTGCTGATTTCTGAAGTTCTGCCGATGGAATGGATGCCTTGCTGAGATTCCCGCATTCTGCTGTTTTCTAAGTCTGTATGTGTGCGTGCCTGTTGACTTGAGTGCCTGTCTGAGTGTTTGTCGGCATGAGTGTGTGTGTGACCCGCAAGGGTGCTTGCTTGTTTGGCAGGCCCGTAGGGCCGGTACTTACCTGTGGCCGTGGCTTTGAGGGTTGCAGCAGGGAAAACACTCAAGTAGCGGAGCCAGGGGCCCGTGGTGCTTAGAGCAGCGGATAAACACTCAAGTAGCAGGTGGGCCGGTACTGCACCCAGTATTAGTAGATGTGCCGGGTACTTGAGGCCGAGCAGAAGAAGACAAAGTTGGCATTTTTAGAGGCCCAATAGCGGTCGGCTAGGTCTAGGCCGGTACCAGTCCATCCTGTCTGAGTGTAGAGTCTGTGCGGGCAATATCAGAGTCTGCAATGATGTTTCCCTCCGAAAGGGAGGAGGTACCGGTTGCTTGGGAGGCCGAGTGGCCTGGAAGTCACCGCCCAGGAGGCAAGCAGGTCGCTATATCAAGAGG